CCTGGCTGTGCTGGGTGCGCGGGGCCTGGGCCGCCTCATGGGCCCGCACCCCCCAACTCCGCCACGGACGCCATCACCGGCCGCCCGGCCCGCAGCGCGCATGCGCTCCCGCCCCGGCTGCGGGCACCGCGCAGGCGCACAACCCCTCCCGGCATTGGCCGGCGCCGCACTGAGCATGCGCGGAGAGAACCCGGCGGGGCGGACGGGCGCGGGGCTTGGGGCTGAGCGTGCGCGGGGCGCGCCCGCCTCCCTTGGTGCTGGCACGGAGGGTGCGCAGAAGGCGCAGCGAAGCCACCCGGGCGGTGCATGCGTAGAACCCGCCGTGAAGCCCAGAGGACTGACCCTTGTACCCGGAGTCCCTTCTGAGCATGCGGGAAGCGGGTGGTTCGAAGGCGCTGCCCGCGTCCGAACCGGCGGGGAAGGCGACCGCGGAGCCCGGCGGCCGCGCATGCGCCCTGGCGCCTGAAAGCGCCTCAGCGGGGGTCGCCGAGGTCAGCCCTGAGGGGAGGCCGGCGGCGAGCGGGGCTGTGGGTGGTTGGCGTTGCCCCGGTGAGGGGCAGGCACCCCGGGAGGGCACCCGGAGTGGCGGGGAGGTCCGGGTGGGAGGGAACCGGCGAGGAGAAAGGGTCTGGAAGGGGGCGAGGTGGGCGAGGGACGTGAGGGCCGGGTGGCGGGCAGCACCAAGAACATGGCGGCCCCCGAGGCTGGGCGGGAGGGCGCCGGGTGGGTGTCCCCACAGAGGCGGGGGACTGAGGCTCCTGAGAGGAGGGTACAAGCGACAGCGGCCTGCTCCGAGTGACAGGCACAGCGGGAGGGCTGGCACCACACGCCTGGGTTGGACATGAGACCCTTCTGAAAATCATTAACAGATCTATTTATTTATTATTATTTTTTGCTGTGAGGAATAACTCGGCCTTGCGGCAGCACACAGGCCCGCCTTAGGCTGTGAGGCGCGGGCTGGCAGCAGCGCTGAACACCAGCACAGGAGTCAAAAATAGCACATAACCTGCCTGCAAAATGCAGCAGGATCGAGTTTGTGGCGCTGGCAGTTACCCAAAGAACGCTGTTCCAGAAGTGCTCCGGCACAGCTGGGATGATAATGAAAAATAGCAGCCCAGAATAATGAAGTGAGGTAAAAAAAAAAAAAATCTTAGGCTGTGAGGCGCGGGCTGGCAGCAGCGCTGAATGCCAGCACAGGAGTCAAAAATAGCACATAACCTGCCTGCAAAATGCAGCAGGATCGAGTTTGTGGCGCTGGCAGTTACCCAAAGAACGCTGTTCCAGAAGTGCTCCGGCACAGCTGGGATGATAATGAAAAATAGCAGCCCAGAATAATGAAGCGAGGTAAAAAAAAAAATTAAAAAAATGACCTTGTTTCTATGAAAGGAGAATAGAAAAGTGAGAAACCAGAGCTCCCGCAAAATGCTGAGCGGGGAAAACCGTCAACTGGCATGGTACTGAATCAAAACCTTTGCTGTCTGTGGTGGAAGCACGGGGAATGCTCTAGGGAATCCTTTTGTCACCCCAACAGATTTTGGCATCAGGCCCGTCGCAGTACAGGACTGGAAATCAGCTAGAATTTTGAATGAGCTTCACGTTTCTAAAGGCATATAGTCCTTTCTTATTACGCTTTTACAGCCTAATCCCCTAACTTTCTTGGAGTTACAATTACTTGTTTCTGTCCTGCATTACTAAGCAAAAGTAAGAAAGCAGAGACTTTGCTCGCTCTGTAGTTGGTTTCAGCCCCTTCAGATGAATAGCAATGGCAAACAGACTGATTCTCTGTCAACTGCCACCTGCATTCTTCTGACATTCAGGAGAAAGTGCTGACAGTCCGTTTTTTTCCCCAGAAATAGCCAGTGGCTGAAAAGTAGCCATTTCCTTCTCACTAGAGGTTCTGAAAAAACTGCAAAGCTGCTTAGAAATCTACTTGTCAGAACTTCCCCCTCTTCCTTTCCACAGTTACTAAAGACATGCTTTTCTTTTTTAGGCTTAAGTGAATAAGAATGTCACTAGTGACAGTCCAGCTTGGTCAGTGTGGCAATCAGATTGGCCACGAGGTGTTCAGTGCTATCTGCAGTGACGTCCGCGGCACACATGGGTTGTGTTCCAAGAAGGAGAATGAATCCTACCATGACGCTTGCAAAGAACGTTTTTTCAGTGAGGAGGAGTCTGAAGGTATGGCATTTGAGTGCTTGTTTCCCGCAGAGGGTCTGGTTTCCAGCCTAATACAGTTAAGAGTACAGAAATAATAAAAGCTTTTCAACTTCAGTTGAAGAATGAGTTCTACCTTCAGTCTTGAAGGATTGTCAGAACCCTCTGCCTTCACCACAGTGCTCACAACTGTGTAAGAAAAATCAGCACAGTACCATATCTAAGACCACAGGGCACGTCTGCCAGTAACACCACTGGGAACTGAACATATATGCACACGTAATATTTCCTTCCAAATGTCTGTATTTTCTACTATAGATAGATCATGCCACAGAGTAGGACCCAGACTATAATCTGGTGTTAGAAAACATATTAAGTGGTTTCTTTCCTGAAAGATCAATGGTCTCTAGATTTCAGATTTGTGTTTGGAGCAATAGATTGTTCTCCAGAAATCCAGGGTGTTGCCAAGTCCTCCTTTCTGTACATCCCTGTACTGTCCCGTTAATAGTTCAGTTTATATGGGTTGGAGGAACATAGTCTGGGCTGTGGTGCAAGTCTCTCCATTTTACGTAAAAAAGTTCTAATATTGGCACATTATTCTAAGTTTTGTTTTTCTTCCTGTCCAGTACCTGTTGCCCGAGCTGTGCTGGTTGACATGGAACCTAAAGTAATCAGCCAAACCTTATCAATAGCTGCCAGGTCTGGCCACTGGAAATACGACGATCGGTCACACTTCTGTCAGAAGCAAGGGTCTGGGAACAACTGGGCAAACGGGTATGAGTAATTGTTTCCAGCTTCATTAAGTGAACTGTAGAGGCTAATGAGGTGTCTAGACTCTCTAGAAGCAGAGTATGTAACATTAACTCGATTTAAGTTAGAATAGCAATATATGGAGCAGTGAAATTTCTTGACTGCTTTTTCGCAAGGTGATATTGGTATTTACAGTGAATATGTAACATTTTAGAATAGAGTTAATATATTTATTTTAAGAATAGGAAACAATAAACAGGGTTTATAAACAGCTGTTGTGCAAAACATCACAGCTGAGGATTCTTTACTGCAGACGGGTGACATGATGCCAGGTTGTATAAATAATAATAAGAAAAGTATCCTTTATGAATAGCTTCACCTTACCACTTTTATTTTGATGTAACCTGCCATATCTCCCTGTTTTGTCTTTCATTCAACAGTTATTCTGTTCACGGGCCTAGACACAAAGAAGTAATAATGAATCTTGTACAAAGAGAAGCAGAGAAATGCGACCGACTGGGTGGATTTTTCACGATGATGAGCATGGCTGGGGGTACAGGGTCTGGCTTGGGAGCATTTGTGACCCAGTGTTTAAGAGATGCTTTTCCAACCTCGTTTATACTAAACCATGTTATCTGGCCCTACGGCACTGGTGAGGTGAATGTCATGTTTCCCAGAGATACTCTACAACTTTATAATCACTGTTTACTTTTAAACATAAAAGATCTGCAACTGAAATAAACAAGAAAAGAGGTACATTTTACTTTTCAAAAGTTCAACATGGCAGAAAGTAACAGAGCTAATAAACTGCTTGCCTAATATTTGGTACATGTTTCACCAAAAAAAAAAAAAAAATGGTTCTGGATAATGTAAGTGCTAAAGTATAATGCAGTTTCCTGAGAAGTGCTAGTAGCTAACTGGGAATCTCCTGTTATGATCATGCCTTAGCATTAAAATCGGTTCCCAGATGTTTTATTCCAGCATGTTTGCATGAACTGAGAAGGATAATGTGCTTTTCGCCGGTCTTTCTTTCCATGGAAAAGCTCTGGTAGCTCCTGACCTCATTCTGCACTTTGACAAAGAAAATGAATCACTTCCTAAATCATAACTGAGGAAAGGAGAGTAGCCAGAGGGTTATAAACTAGAAAGAGATTAAGTTGTTTGATTCTCATTTGTGTGTATCATTTGTTTGTTTGTTTCCAGGTCATTGTTCAAAACTACAACTCTGTTTTGACTCTGTCACACTTGTACCGGTCATCAGATGCCCTTCTCATTCATGAGAATGATGTCATCCACAAGATCTGTGCTCAGCTGATGAATATTAAACAGATCTCCTTCAGGGATGTAAATCAAGTCATTGCACATCAGCTGGGGAGCGTTTTCCAGCCCACTTACACAGGAGAGAGTGGCTTACACTACAGCAGAAACCCATTAGGTATCCAACTCTACTTACAGCTGCCTAATGCATTCTCACACATGTTTCTATAATCATTTCATATTGAGAATTTAAGTTCTTCAGTCTCCTTACTTAAGTATTCGGACACATCCCAAATTTTAAGATAGGAAGAGTGAAGGAAAAGACTAAATTAAAATTTCATCTCCAATTTTGTAGCAGTCAAAAATAGATCTCCCAGATTCTAGTTTCATTCTTTACCAAAACCCTGTTTCTCCTCTTTCAAGTGCCTACAGACCCCCTTGTACCTATTTACATTTCAGAGGAAATTTGTGCAGGTCAGTAATTTTGGGCTGAGTTTTACATTTCATATTAGGTAAGAAGTTTGTATAAACTGAAACAAAATGACACTTGTGTGTTTCGCTCAGGCAGAAGACAGGTGAGCACACAACTTGGTAGCCACAAGCAACAGGCTGACATTTGTATCTTTAAGGAATTAGCGAAAGTTACCTGTATTGCCAAGAGTTTTGCTTGTAAAATTAACCTTTCACATCTGTCTGTCAATTTTTTTAGCAGTGCATGGGGTCGTTGATATTCAGAGCCAGACAAGACTAAATTGTAAACCAAGAGCTAATAATGTGCTTGTGCAGAACTTAGTAGTACAGAGCAAGTTTGCATTACCTTGTCTGATGGGTGTCCCTGTATTCATCAACTTAAAACTTTGTCTCTTACCTTAAATTGCTAGGTCTTTGTAAAATTCCTCGCTGTCTTCTCCTATTTTAGCTACCCTCTGCAATATTTTTATCGTCAACTTGAAACTTGATATATCCTGCTTTGTTTCTTACCTTAAATTGCTAGATCTTTGTAAAATTCCTCGCTCTCTTCTCCTATTTTAGCTACCCTCTGCAATATTTTTATCAAACAGCAGCTGTTCATTTCTTCTTTCAGGAGACTTAATGGAGACGTTAGTTCCACATCCTGAATTCAAGATGTTGGGTCTTCGTAACATACCTCAGATGCCTGAAAACTCCCTCGCTTATAGCGTGTTCAGTTGGCCTGGACTCATCAAACATTTAAGGCAGATGCTCATTGCTAATGCTAAAATGGAGGAAGGTAAAAAGCATTCACTCATCTCCAGTATCCATCATTCTTTAAGCCTTTATTTTTACAGCTGAAATAAAGCTTACTCTTTTGTGGAGCTCACTGATTAGCTTTAGTCCAGAAAGGAGCTGCTGCCCTCAGACAGCAGGAATTTGCCTCTCCATAACCAGCTGCTCCTTTAACTATTCCCTCAGCTGCCACAGCAGCTCCTGATTTTGCTCCCAGACATCTCAGTTAATTATAACTACTGAAAAATACGCAAAACAAACAGTTTTTGGCCATGCGCTTAATTGACGTGATTCATTTGGAACATTCCTTGGATAGTTAGTTGTGCTCTGCTTTTTCTTTCTACACCTTCTACTAATTAAAAGCGTGCTTAGCTCTCCCGTATCATTTACATGGGGAATTCGGTGTAGCTTCCAGTTATGCAAAGAATGGGCTGGCAGATTGCTAAGTATAGAAACGAGTATCCATTTTCTCTGGTAAGACTAGTGACTGCCAGGCAAATACTGCTGGATTAGCACTGGTTTGCTCTAAGAATTGTGTAATTGCTGCTTAACTAATGTGCAGAAGCTTGTATCTTTTTTGCCAAAATCTTGTAGGTATTGATTGGCAAGTGAAACCACCACGTCTGGGCTCCTCCATCCCCTCCAGTCATTCCACAAATAAGCCACTGCATTTCAATACTTCCATTGCTAACCTGGTTATCCTGCGAGGAAAAGATACACACGGCGTAGACTTAGGTAAGAAAGAGAAACACAGTCCCTCACTGGCTCTTGTTTCACATCTCACTGTTTTCTTTGCAACTGTATCTGATGAAAGGGGAAAAAAAAACCCACCGAGGCCACATATTGGACTACTACAGTCAATATTCCCTCTAGAAACATTTTAATTAACATTGTCTAATTGCTTAGACAGCTAGGGCTATTGTATTTACAACCCACACAACCCTGAAGCACTTCAGGGAAGGAGGAAGAGACTGAAGTCTGTAGACAAGATAGGATTCTTGGCTATATTGTCTGAAAATATATTTAGCCACTTCTGGAGCGATGAGCACAGCTTGTGGATGAAGCACCGATACAAGAGTATGCTTCTAGATAATCTAATGAATCTGTTTAAACCAGGTGTATTTTAAACAGGCTGACCACTCCACAGACTTTTTTCAAGGCCTGAATTTATCTGCCAAGCACTGATTAAGTCAAATGGGACTACTAAAATCAAGCTGTAGGAGCTTGTAGCTTTACATTTGTCAAAAGGGCTGTCTGTTTTCTGCTACAGGAAGTTTCCGAGATCCCTCATTATACACATCATGGCTAAAGCCTCAGGATGCTTTTAATGCCTGGAAAACACCAAGAGCATTTAACAAGTATGAGAAGTCTGCTTCTTTGGTCAGCAACAGCCAGTTCCTCCTGAAACCTCTTGATGATGTTGTAGGAAAAGCTTGGAATATGTTTGCTTCCAAGTAAGTGAAAATAATTATGCCGAGACTTCATTAATAACTGCCATTTGAAGTTTGTACAATAACTTTACAATCGGATTTAATGTGTCAGATTCTTCACTGATTTCTAATGTCTTATCCTTTTTCCTCTGTGACCTCAACACACAGAGCCTACATTCACCAGTACACCAAATTCGGCATCGAAGAGGAAGACTTTCTGGACAGCTTCACAGCTCTGGAACAAGTTATCTCCAGCTACACCACCCTTTGATTTTTTTTTTTTTAAACGGTCTGAAATAGAGCTTTCCTGAAACAACCCAGGACTGGAAAACCTTCCATCAACTTCCTGGAGTATATTAATTACTGGACTGTAGCTATTTTTGAAGTTTTGTAAGCAGTGTGTGTGTGTTAGAGAGTAAGAATTGAATCAGAACTGAATATATTCATATGGGCAGGTATTAACTCATATTTAATATATCTAATAAATAGCTATTTTTCAATACATTTGCTATGTACTGTAGCTAAGTCTTTGAACATCATTTTTGGCATTTGGATATTTTTCATAGAGTGTCTACACAGAAGGATTTTTCTCCAGGCTAAATTCTCAGCATCTAAACTATCATGAGCTTATGTGTGATAGAAATTAAATGTGTCCTTGACTACAGTAGTAAGGCATTCCCCATCCTTCAATTTCAATTTTTCATGATAACATTTTGCCCTAAGAATGCTTCAATACTGATAAAAATGCACAGTATCAGAATTATTAATCCAAACTCCCTTTGGGTATCATTCAAGATACAATAGGGTGTCACCTTTTTCTTTAAAGCAAAGTAAGACTTAAATTCCACTTTAAGGACCTTAAGCTTGACCAAATAGCAGAAGTTTTGAACCATCTTTTAAAAAAAGGTAGGAAGGGTTCTTAATTTTCCTGTCATCTTCAAGTTCTATTAGAGATTATAATGAATTATAGGTTTTTCTGGCCATTTCACCATGCCATGTTTTCAAGTGATGTTACCTACCGCAGGTTTAAGCAAAACTACAACTCTTCCTCTTTATCCTATGAGTTAGAAGCAGGTAGGGGTTTTTTTTTTGTAATTAATCTGTTATTTATTTAAGCATATTTGGGAGGAGAATTTGCGGTAAATTTCAAGATACAAGAGCCCATAATAGAATAAATATATTGTGTAATTTCAAAAGTCGATTTAAGAAACGGGCTCTTTTTTGCACAGATTTTACCACGGCCACAAGGTGGTGCCCCCGTGAAGCTGCAGCCTGCAGACACCCAGCTGCACCAGGGGAGGAGGAGATCCTGGTAGCTTGGGTGGGCACAGACTGGGTGCTCATAAAATAAAAAGAGCACAGTAGGATTAAGGATGGTGTTAAAACACTGAGCTTTCTTCTGCCTCTGTCAGCTTTACATTTAATGGTAGGGAGAGCTTTTGGAATTCTTACTATTCCCCCCACCATGTCACTGTTCTCCTATGGAAATAATCCCACCCGCTATTACATAGGCATAAAAGTTTAAAAAATTAGTCTCGAGGACTTTTCTCTTGACAAGTGGGCAAATCTTATCGTTTCCCTTTAGGTTTCAATGCTGTTTCATGCCAGGCTTCTGAGCTTTTAACTAAAAGATGAGCACACACATAGTACCATGCTATGTATGTTAAAGAGGTTTGCAATATGGCTCAGAATGCCAACACAGAAATTGTGCCCTGTTAGAAATTCTGATTTAGATTTTAAATCTTTAATTAATTAACACAGTGGTAGATGCAGAAGTGACCTTGTAATTCTGCTAGGCTTCAGTTAGAGCACATTCTGTTTTATCTTTATTTCCTTTCCCTGTTTCATTTACCTCTTCACTTTTCTTCAGGCCAGGTACAGAAGCACTAAAATCCTCCCCCTCCCCTGGAGAACCTGTTCTCAGAGCAGCTCTGCCACCTGACACCAGGAATGGCAAAAAGACTTCTGACAAGATTCAAGGAACTGTACAAGCAAATCTGAAGAAAATAAGTAAGTACTGGAGCTAAACTCACAATTGATCAAACACATTTATAGTAATAGCTGTTCTCTGGCTTGGTTGAGTCAATGCAAGCCACAATGGATTTCAACTGCCCCTTAGTAGTAGGACAACCTTCAGCACACGTTAAATTTGAGTCCAGTCCTAGTTCATGCAGAAAAATTACTTGTGTAAATTAAGAGCTATATTGGTGCCTCCAGTCAATAGCAAAATAATTAAATATAGAGGGGAATGAGAACCATTCGCAGGGTGGGTGGGGAAAACACAAGAGGGAAGGCAAAGAGGAGAAAGCAGATAGGATAAATACAGCCAATAACTTTTCATATTAAAAAACCACTTGACATTTATGACAAAACATTTTGACAATATTCTTCTTGCAGACCAGAGTACGTAACCCAACAACTCTGGTTTGCTTTCTGTTTTCACTTGGCTGCTCTAATCTCTGTTTTAGGAACTCGCTTGCAAAAGAAGGCACAATAATCATAGTTCAACTGTGCAGCCATATTTCAAGTCCTACACTGCTCAGCAAAACTGGAGTTGTTTAGAAGTTCAAAACTACATGGAACTTTTGTTACAGAATATTATTTGTGATATTTAATACTTTTTCACAAAATCACTTCCTAGCAGCTCAGAGCTGAGGGCTCTTCTGATCAATAGGGATTTCTAGTTTTCTGGTTTTGTCAGTTTTAACCATTGTCTTTAACTTGGGTATTTTCACAGAAGAAACAAGGAAAGATTGCACAAGAAGTTAAGATAAACAGCGCAGGCAATCCGAGTTTGCAAGGAACAAAGGGTCAGGAGAGGAGACAGAATGGTGAGGTTCTCCCTCCTCCCGCCTTCAAAAGGCACAGGATGTTTAGCAACATCTAAATAATTTTCCCTGGTGTTTTCAACAGATACCAGACTGAGAACTTCCAGCATCAGAAATGAGAAGACATAACTCCTCATCTGAAAAAATGACCGAGTCCCAGGGACCCATACTCTTCCTCATTGTTCCACAAACAGGTAAAAGAGATTTTAAAAAGCTAAGGACAGATAAGTTCTCTCAGAAACAAGGAAGAGAGCAATGGGTTATTGTACTCCTACATCAATAAGTAACTTTATTGCAGAAATAACTTTACGTTATCTCTATGTATTTATAATTCTGCTCATGAAACAAACACAGCAGGTGCTTATTGCACCTTTGAATGACATAGACCCATTTATCCATTCTTTCTAAGTACATTTATTATCTATGGCTTATGTCACTTTTAGTCAGTGGAGCAGGATCTTTGGGGGGGGTTGGTTTGTTTGCATTTGATAGCAGAATTTGGGCCACGTCAGGAAACGCAGCACACAGCTAACATGCACAACCCCAAAGCAAAAATAAAAAAAATCCTTATTTAATCTCTAGTTATAGCATATGAAAACAGAGAGGAAAGATTCTGCAGCTCTAAGACAGAGTTAGGCCAACAGGTGCATTATGCTTAAACAAGGATACTTCTGTAAGAACTTGTTCACAGTTAGGATTCAGGGAAAACATTCCTACTTCCATGGGAACAGAGGATCCCACCCAGCAGCCACATTTTTATGACACAGATTCCTCAAAACTATAAAAAAAAAAAGGAGGGGAAAACAAAAGTATAACTGTTGTATTACCTGTTATAATCCCTTTCATTGCTCTGGAGAAGAGATTGACAGGAATTGTTTTAGGCATCTCTAGCCTTCTTCCTGCTAGTGTTTTTCACAGCTGACCTCAGTTCTGAAATTCTCACACCCTTTCCCAAACTAAGCCTTCATTTGTTTTTTGATCTACGGCTGGATTCCTCTGGTTTTTTTCCCCAGGATGTGGAGAGGAGAGGGTGAAAGCAGCAGGAAGTGAATAGCTATTATCACATTTTCATCATCTACAATTATATTAGAGGGCGGAGTAGTCATTTTCTATTTTATTGAGAAAATTAATTATGTAAATAGCCTGAGCCTGGCAGAGGGCCTTTATTTCATTTGAAATTAAAATGAATGAGGTAGAACAAAGGTCAGGACAAGCCAATTGCTCACCCAGGCAGGGACAACAGAGTCTGTGGCCTTGACCCAGCAAGTTTAAGCAAACTGCCCACAGGATGTCCATAAACCAGGGAACAATGCACCAAATCTCACTATTGTTTTTTGTAATGGACAGGTGCAGCTCACTTGGAAGTTGATTCAAGGACTCTAACTATAGCAGATTTACTTAATGAATAGGGTAACTTTTATTTGGCCACTGAAAAATAGCAGGAACAAAAATTAACTTGTTCCAAATACTTTAAACATAGTAACTGTTTGGCAAGTGACAGGGCACTAACCTAATGTCTATGGCTGGATTCCTCTGGTTTTTTTCCCCAGGATGTGGAGAGGAGAGGGTGAAAGCAGCAGGAAGTGAATAGCTATTATCACATTTTCATCATCTACAATTATATTAGAGGGCGGAGTAGTCATTTTCTATTTTATTGAGAAAATTAATTATGTAAATAGCCTGAGCCTGGCAGAGGGCCTTTATTTCATTTGAAATTAAAATGAATGAGGTAGAACAAAGGTCAGGACAAGCCAATTGCTCACCCAGGCAGGGACAACAGAGTCTGTGGCCTTGACCCAGCAAGTTTAAGCAAACTGCCCACAGGATGTCCATAAACCAGGGAACAATGCACCAAATCTCACTATTGTTTTTTGTAATGGACAGGTGCAGCTCACTTGGAAGTTGATTCAAGGACTCTAACTATAGCAGATTTACTTAATGAATAGGGTAACTTTTATTTGGCCACTGAAAAATAGCAGGAACAAAAATTAACTTGTTCCAAATACTTTAAACATAGTAACTGTTTGGCAAGTGACAGGGCACTAACCTAATTACAGATAGACTTTATTTGGACTCAAATGTACATGGTGCTTACAAGGTGAGACTCACTACCAGCACAGAAAGGATAGAATCGTAGTGTAAATATATAAGCATTTTTTAAGAGGATTACCTGCAGAGATTTATCAAACTGAAACAGTTTGAGATTAAGGGCAAAAATCTGTGGTTTCCAGAGCAACTAGGATTTTATCAATAAGAAAGAAGGAAGTTATGTTCAAATTACCAGTTGATACACTACTGGGAAATACTGAGGTACAAAAGGATATCAAACGAATAATTAATTTCCTTCTGCATTTGTTAATAAATTTAGTGTAGATAAATATTATGAAATGAGGGACCAAACATCCCAAAGGAAATACTCTCAGATGTCAACGTGTACTTTAAAGAAGTCTGTGTTTTGCTGGACACCACTTTAAAAACAGCACAAGAGTCATCAGAAATGTGATTCATGGATCCGATACGGTACAAAAAAAACTTCCAAAAGGAACTGAGCTGCTGCCTTTCCTCCACTGGTTTCAAGGGCAGCCCAGACACAGCTTTACCAAAGCAGCAAATTCCAGTGTAGGCTTCCTCCTCAAACCTCCTGCCTCTGCCTTCCGACCCCACCTCTGCCCACGCTCCAGAAGCACAGCCCAGACACTCAGATGGCTTTTAGCTGCCCTGGATGTAGAGCTGATAATCCTGAATTTTAACTGTAGAGCCTTTCCGGCTCTTTCAGACAAACTCTGAAGTTCACAATGGTCCCTTCTGATTTCACATTGTATGAATCCTCTCCCTCTAGACAGCCACTTCCCCTCCGAGCGGGTGGGGGAATGAGTCACCTACCTCTGTGAATCAGCACAACCTGCTTAACCCTTTCTCAGAAGCACAAACAGCTGCAGGGAGGGTGGGGGTTCAAATAAATGTTCTCACCAACCAGAGGGAGCAGACTGGCAAAGGGGAAGATGGCCTGGGATGAGAGATTAGAGAGGCTGCTTCTGCTCGTTAGGAAATAATAGGAAATGTAAAGGCAATTTTTAGAAGTATAAATACATTCCACGATAACAATCACGGAAGAAGTTTAAACCTTAACCCCATGGTTCATACAAGCCTGAGAGATTCTGAACAGGGAGTTCTAAGAGAGCTGAATGGTATAAAGTAAAAGCACAGGCCTCTGGATTTATCGGTGTGAATCAGATTGCAGAAACCTTCTAGTCTGCTGGTTTTAAAACCAACATTTTTAAAATATGGATCATCACACCATAAGACAGAAAAATAATTCAAATGAGGACGCTCTCTAGGCCAGGATTCCTATTTTAAAAGAGCAGTAAGTGGAGAAACTAAAATAAGCCACTGGTTAAAAATAAAAAAAAAGACAGAATAAACATTGCTTGAGCTTCAGTAAGGTATTGGCTTTTGCCTCACTGGTTATATGTGCTGAGAAATAAATACCTTCTCATATGGTTATATCTGCATTTCAATGGGTGCGTTCTGCGAAAATGATTATTGTACATATTTGGTTACACGATATGGTGTATCTGCATTTCAATGGGTGCGTTCTGCAAAAATGATTATTGTACATATTTGGTTACACGTACAATGTAATGTTTATTTAAAGGCTCACAAAAATACACTTCAGTTGCCTGAGAATGGTGTAATTGTGGTCAGATGGCATGATTTAATTTGAACTTTTGCCCAGCAGTCTCCAATATGTAATAGATCATTTACAGGAGCGTGTAAGCAGAACTCCGCCGCCGCAGCCAAATGGAAAGCAGCCTTATCCCACATGCTGAAGGTGTAATAAAATACTGACTCTGTGCTTGGCTGGCAAGGGAGGCTGTAGCTGTTCACTATAACATCCTCAATCAGTATGGGGAGGGCTGGGCAATGGTTCAGAGCTACTGCTCTCCAGATGGCGCAGAACAATACCGAGTTCAAGAATCCCTATTTCCACGTCGGGCTGCTTGCTGCTGGCTGTCAGGCACTTCTGCCACTTGCAAAGAAAACACTGGGAAATTTCTTCCCCACCCCACTTTGGGCAGCTTCAGCCTGTGTTACTACCTGATTCTGAGTCACCGAGTCAGCAACTGTATTTATGGAGCTACTCGATGTTGTGAACTAGCAATTTCTCCTCCTTAGGCCGAATTTTGGTGAAGCAACCTAATGCAACTGATAAAACAGTTAAAAACATAAATTTAGCAACATGAACATACATCCTATCAAATACTCTTCTCCCAAGGAGAAGCTTCTCTTCTGATGACCATACTCTTCTCCCAAGGAGAAGCTTCTCTTCCCTCCCTACCAGCCATTAACTCAGGATCTCACAGTATTTTTCTTTATAAAGATGTAGTGAGGCTTCTCCACAAAGCCAGTAGTATATAAAAAATAGCTACAAACCTAACACGTGTTGTGAAAAGGGAGCTTATTCTTCAATGATGTTTTTCACTGTGCAGTAGTATATAAAAAACAGCTACAAACCTAACGCATGCTGTGAAAAGGGAGCTTATTCTTCAATGATGTTATAAAAGAAACCTGAACTTGCTTTAGTACCTACAGGGTCCTGTTCAAGCTGAACAAAACTCCAGCCAACAGGCCCAAACTTGTCCAAAAAATCACACCGAGGCCAGACAGGGCCATGAGAAGGACTGAGAGGAGAAGAGACAGCAGTGACACTTTGAAGATTGGCCTCTCAGGGTCAGGTCTGGCCAAACACCTCTCTCCTCCTGGGCAGCTGTAACCATTTCAGTTCACGCACAAACGCTGCAGTGATTTGCCACGTGGTGGTTGTGCATACACACAAGTGTTCAAGACAGGTTTATATAGACCTTATAGACCTTAAGGGGGCAACAGAAATAAAATCACAAATTGCATTCGCACAGCTCTAGTAGAAATACTGCTCTGAAGTTTTTTTTGGCATCCATTATCTTTGAGCTTAACTAAACACCAGCTTCAGGCACCTTCAAAGTTTCTCTCTTCCTGCTGCTCCCACCTCGAGTCTTATGCAACACACATGGATGCATGTGACTACGGCAGGAGGGGGCAGCTGGACTGAGGTGAGAATACAAAAAAATCAAGAAATTGGAGAAACAAAATCTGTTGTTACAAAAATATCCTAAATATGACAGTGTTCCAGAAAACAGCTGCAGCAAACGAGGCACTGAGGGAAGCCTGGTTTCTAAAGAGACCAGAGAGATCTTGTGAATGTGGCTAGATTTGTTTGATGTTGTAAATCTAAAGGTGTATTTTCTCTACATGCAGGTCCGGGTTCTTCCAGAGACAGAAAGGAAATGCTGAGCACACAAACCTGGTTTTCAAGCCTTTTCAACAGATGGAGAGCGCCCAAGAAACCCGCGGTCTCAGGAAAGACACACACATCCCTCAAAACTCCCACAGCTTCTAACACGTAAGTGTAAGCCTCAGTCAAGCATGTGTGTGGTTCAGTGAGCAGCAGCTTCTGCAAGAGAGCTGCCAGTTTCCTTCCTGACAACATGGAAGGAAACCAGAGGTACCACAAGGTCACTGCAGACAGAACAAGCTTTGGGAAATGCATCTAATCTCTCGAATCATTTCTTACACTTTGTTAATTGGTTTTGAGGCAGAGTTTAACCTCCCCCTGCACGCTGGGCTCTGGTGGTGCCTGAGATCCAGTAGCTTAGAGCTCTGGCTGACATGGCATCTTCTGCCAAATTGGTGACATCTCCTGCCAAATCAATGCCACCCTCCAGTGGAAAGGCTTTAAACCTTAGAAATGTTGCGTGGATCAGCTGTAACTCATGTAAAGTAATAGGTGACTCCCCACAGACTGATGCCATCAATCACAACTATGGTCACAATCTTGCATAAAGCCAATCTAACAAACACCTGGGTGCAGTTCACAGACTTTGCCTGTATCTGAGATATCTTTGAGATCAGTGCAATACTCCCCAGAGCAAAAAGCAGTGACATGACACACTACCAAGGCCACAAGGAAACAAAAAGTTCCAGCCACTTCTCCTGGGGAGGCAGAACCAGATCCCTGTGACCTGCTCTGTCACACTAGCATTAAAAAAAAAAAACCAAAGAAACCCCAAAATGGCGAAATATGCCTTAAATCTCTCGTACTAAACACACAGCCATTCCCTGGCAGGACCCCTCAAGCAGGGAGTCACCAGAGAAGACACCAACTCACAGTTTTTACAGGGACAGAGCAGCAGTTTCTGAAGCCACGGGAGCAGGGTGCGGCCCCAGGGTCGTTATCAGAGCAGGGAACAATACACTGAGCTGACTGAGCCCTATCTCTTGCCTTTCATCAGGAAATAGCAGCGAGTTTCCTTATTACCAGCTGCCTGGGCAACTCATTTAAGCTTCTTGGGAAACCAGTTAGAACAATTAAGCTGGGAGTAACTCCCTTGAAACACGGAAGATACAGCGCGCTTATCCCTATCTGACCAGTCAGAGGAGGTTTAAAGAAAGATGACCTTTGATTTAATGCTACTGTAGTCGATGCTCTTTGAATCATTCCATGAGTGAGTAATAATAATAAAAAGAAACCTTCTAGCAGAATAAAGGGCAGTGTTAAAGGCAGAGTAAAACAAAGCTTGGCCCATTTAGCAGGTTCACACTTGCATACTTTTACCACGACTGACCATCACTAGCAGTGACCAGGCTGGATGACTTCACAGCTCAACAGCCTCTTAAGTTTAAATCCAGCACAGAGTAATAATCGTTTTTTTTGACCAAAATACCATTTTGCTGAATTCCTGACACACATCAAGAAGCCCGTCACAGATTACCGGGCTCTCCCATTTGCTTTCACCCAGGAGGTGATACAGCCAGGTGGCTTTTGGACATTTAATGACAGTTTCTGCATTTCAGCTCCTTTCACTCTTTTGACAACTGACCCAGGCTCTTACAGCCTCTTCCCAGGGTTTTGCTGCCTTTTAGGAAAGCCGAGTGGACGCATCAACAAGCAAGTGAAACAGATAAAAAAATAAATGCTAGCACTTCAGCATTTCATGCCCTCAATTAGACGCTTGAATTAGGAAAGTCACAGCAGGCTCAGAGTTTTTCAGTATAATCCTTTTAGAAAGGAGTTTGTAAGAGCATATGCAAATATTTACCCTCAATCTAGTTCTGAATAAATCAGCAGGGTGTTTCGCAGGGAAGGCGATTGCTTCACTCCCTCCTTCCTGAAGAGGTCACAGCAATTAAACCCTCACCTGGACCTGCCTCCTGGGCCACTGCTCCCCCCCTTTCACACCCTGCTTCGTGCCACAATTTGGAGCAGGCTGAACAAAGTACTTACTGGTTTTTCTTCTTCCTCTCAAAAAAAAAATTAAAAATGTACAGGAAAATCCCCACAATTTTAAATCTCAGAAGAGCATTTTCAACTACCTTATATATAATCACATTCAACCTTTAACTGCTGATTACAAAGTATTTTTTAACCATGTGCTTCAAAGAACAACTGCATTACTTTTACCTCCGAGGAACACACCCAATCACCACTTATTTTCACACCTGCAATCAATTTTGCTCAGTAATATTTATATTTGTCCTTGATAATCAGGGAAACATCCACAGTATTTGTGCTTGCAATTAGCACTGCCTGCAGTGAGAGGGAGGCTGATTCTCACAAATTAAGGAACGAAACCCAAAAGCACAGCAGGGAAGGACTTTCTGGAAGAGCATTAAGCCATCTTCAAGTACTAATGACAAGTATCTTTTAGGCTGATCAGGCAGCTGGGTGGTTTCAGAGGGAGCTGCTTTAACAAGAAGCACAGTGTGACAGGGAGAGGGGGGTAAGAAACTCTGAGCAGAGACAGGGAGCAGGAGGTGTCCTGGTGGCTTTGATGGGGCTGAGGGAAATGTGAACTGGGTGATTTGATCTGATATTTGCCTGTCCCTTGGCTGGACCTGGCACAGACCAGTGGGACCATTTTAGCTTTGCTCACACCAACACAGCTCTTGCCCTGCTGGGGCACATCACGGCTGGCGGGGAGAGGGGCAAACATCAGCTGCTGTTACATCCAGGTGATTTTCAGTCATTCCAAGAAAAAAAGCAAGATGCTTTATTCACTGTCTAAACTGCAAGAAGAATTAGCTAAAAATACAGTGATTTCCCTGCTCTTCCAGCAGAGCTCACTTTGGATTTTTCTCCAACACACTTCAAAGTGGATGATTGACTGTTTCCAACCGTAACTGAAAATATATACAACAAAAGGAAACTTTGGATTAAGGGAGCAAAACACATGTTTTCAGATGAAACACTAAAGGCTCTGGGTCTTTCTGTGAAGCCACAAAATGCAACTGCAGATGTACCTTCTGTGTTCACTCTCATTGCAGAACACTTGGGACAACAGATCTCACAGCGTTAACAACCAAGCTCAATATACAGAAATGCAACGGGGACAACAGATTTCACAGCGTAACAACCAAGCTCAATATACAGAAATGCAAACAAATCCAGCTGAAATAAACACCGGGAAACAGTTATTTGTTTGTTTATTTAAGCAAACACAAAACTATCCATTTGCAGATCTCATTAGGTTTGCATAACTTTCTATTATTTTTTACCTTTTACCAAGTATAATCTCCCAGCGGCTGAACAGGTAGAAGCAAGCAGAATGACTGGTCCCTTCTTTAAATAGTGTTAGAAACTCCAGAATAGGAGCACAGCTCATTGGAATGGACACATAAAACATGAGTTGCAGAACAAAAGATCTATTTTGCACTATATGTATGTAAACATAGATTGAAATAAAAGTGGGAGAAAGCTTTCAATTTCTCTAGTTGTCAGTAGGCAAGGAGGCATAATTATGAGAAGACCCTCAGAAAGGTGTAGTTTATTGGCTCAAGCTCTAGGAAGAGGGTTTTTTTTCTTTTTAATTACTGTTACACAGTCTCCTCATTTTGATCTGACAGCGTACAGGGACCTCAACGTGGCAAAAATGTCATTTACTCTCACAAAAGGCTTTAAGACACTACCAGAGCTGTGGGAAGTAAATACCAGTGTCCCCAGGGCACATGGTGGATCTGAGGACAAAAAGCTCCCACCGGAACTGGGGAGGGCATCAACCAGCACTTCCACTGATCCAAGGGTCCTGAAGAAGAGTGTAACAAACAGCTCTGAACTGCTGACAGCCCCGCTTACCCAGTGCAAAATTAAAGTTTTAGTAGACTGAAAAAAGTGAAATATCTATTATGATACTTTGAAGGAGCATTGTATTAGAGTAACTTATTTTCTGCATTATTTTCAAAGACCATATTTAGGCCAGAAAATGAACAAGCTGCTAGGGCCAAGATTTAAGAAACACTGTTCATCTTTTAAAAATCCACAGAGGGAAATGAATGGCCTCTGTGCTTTTCACTCCCCTGTACCGCCTCCCCGCGCTCAGGCTTTCAGATATTTAACCCAGTCAGCAGCTCTGCTGAGAGAAGCCTCCCCGTCCATTCAGGAACATTGTTTAAAGCTATATATGAAGTATTACAAGAGAAACGTTACAAACCTCACACAGGACTGAGATGAAACTTTAAAAAGATGGTTTTTACGTGGCCTGTGGCGCTGCCCGACGGCTGAGCTTGCCTCCACCTCAACCCCAAAACATTCACGTGCTACTGATGTTCAATGGAAACGGCTGGAGATGGATGAGGAAACGGTCAGATGAGAGATACCAAAATGTCAGACAGCCTACCGACTGTTGTTGCCATGAGATCCAACAGTCAACATCAGTCTGATAAGCTATCCGACAGGATGGTACGGCCATGGAGATGTCACGACGGGTTGGCAACACAAGAGGACACTCAGGCAGGATCCAACACAATACATTATTGTCACACCTTGCTCCAGCCCTGCCCTAACGCCGGGAGAAATCCAACCTGAGAGACCCCTAACCTGCTCTGTGCTCACCTTTTGATAACACTAATTGAAAGCCAAACTAATTCTTGTTACTTACCCCTAGGATTAAAAATAAAAACCAATACTCCAAAGATTATGAGAGCAGTAAAACCTGTACAGCAGCAGGGGAACGGGTATCTACTGACTGAAGAGGGAATATTAGTATTAGTTACGTTCATGGACATCAGGACTGGAACACACACTGATTCATAACAATGTTTTAAAAATATCTGACTCCAAAAGCCTAAGGTTAAGGTTCTCTGACATCAAATCTGTTTTCAGCTGAAATTTTTACTCTCCCCCCCTCTCTTCACCTCCCACGATGCCGTGATCAGCGGCAAACATCCGAGAAGGATTTATGATAACAAATATCACCAGCTATTTCACTTGCCTATTTTAACCAGCGAGCCATACTTCAAGCAAGTGATCTGCTTTCTACTTCCTTCTGCTAAGGAAGAAGTTCTTAAGAAAAAAAAAAAAAAACAACCAAGAACAAAGGGCTTCAGCACCATTTGTGCAGGAAGGATGAGGAAAGCATGCGGTTCATGGGATTAAGGCTTAATAAAGAAACCAAACTGAGCATACAAAAGCGGAGAGGAAAAGGAACAGCTTAAAAAGACTGACACAAGAAATTCTGGAATGATCAAAGATGACTTTATAAAGTTTTATCTTAACTTCATTCTAAATATACAGAATAAAAAATGTCAGCTTCGGCATTTTTGACATCAATCATCTCTGCTAACATCATGATGTTTAAGAGGGTGGCGTTTCCAACCGAGAGCACGTGCAATGCAGCGGGACACCGGAGAGTCCAGATGGAACAGCCTTACCCAGGGGGACATGCAACAGTTTGTATCCAGTCTGTACTCACTTATATACATTGTCATGGCCTTGAAAGTTATGGAAAAAAGCAAACCAGCCACCCCTTCAAAATAAAAAGTTACCCTTGGGTCGGTCTGAAGTTAAATCGGGAAATGGAGGGTATTAAATCACCGGTTTTGGAAGTAATTTGGATGGACAACGTTTGTGTTAAACATCATTTAACATCCCGTTGTCCATCCTGTATAATACACCTCAGACTCAGAAAGCATTTACACCTTACCTTAACATTTATAAGTTTGTCAATGAAACGTCTGCTCTAATATCCAAATTACTTTCAAAATTAAATAGAAAGTTGTTATAGTTGAAAATTGATGTTAAAAAGTTTTCCCACATTTTGAATAATGCTGATTTTTAAACGTATGGAAAGATGTGTCATTTTTTGTGTCTGCTAAAACCCATTCCAAGAGGGGTTTTATTTCCAGGCTCATTTGGTTTTTTCTTCCGAGTACATCTTCTGTTGCAGCCGTTTGGCATAGCTTTGGGCCATGGAGTTGATTATAGATAAGATAAAATAACCAACCATGACAATCACCAATTTTTCAAATATCCATGAGAGCCAGTTCTCCCCCTGAAGAGACAAAGACAAAACAGAAGGAGGAAAATGAAGATTAGTGGACAGCACGATGGAGAGCTCTCCATTTTCTGGGTGAAAGGGAAAAGCCTGGCCTTTTTTATTATTATTATGTAATTTATGGAATTAAAAACAGGAGGCAAGCGCGAGCTGACAGGATTCCTACAGGTCCCCCCCCAAAGCTGACTTTAGTCCCTTGAAAGGGGATTTATTAGTGTTGCATCTCTGCTAACGATTCATAAAAGTTCAGAATTAGCAACCCCTGTCACTCCCTGTCACGTTCCTTGCGAAGAAAACAATTTGGTCATTGGTTAAAAATGTTGTTGTTTTTTTTTTGCCCCCCTAAACTTCATATAGTGCATTATCTTCCAATTAGCAGCTGATTCTTCTGGTGGCACCAGAATTCCTGCCGTGACCCCCGCGGTCCCGCTCCCACCTTTCTCCATCGCTGCCCCGTAACTGGTGTTTCTGTTGTCAAAGGAGGGCAGCAACGCACTGCACAAACCCCACTGCAACGTGCACGGAAGGAATCTGCACATTTCCTTATTCCACCCCGATCCTCCCTAATTTAGTCTCTTTTGTGGTAAGGAATGGGCAAAGAAACATTTATACCAGCTACAAGTATTACATGTGAGATGTGAGGTAGATGGATGGATTTTTATCTAAAAATGCCTCAGTATCATTAGGAGTTTCATGGCAAAGTTGCTCTGTCCCCCCTGAAAATTCAGGGTATGTTTTTCAAAATACTTTTTAACGTTTTTTAAGATACTTTTTTTGTATGAAAGGAGACTTGTGCCCCTTTGTACCGACTCTAAACACCCTCTTTTTCTCTCAAACACTAGAGACTTAGGGATTTTGTTTCTCGTACTGGCCGTTACAGCCACAGATCCCTCTGGCTGCTGAAGCTGCACCCTCTGTGACCGGCTCACGGGGAAATGCAACTTCTTTCTGCTTAAATTTCTCTTTCAAAATAGGCAGCTGCTACAGAGGCAAACATGCCATCGCTCTTGCTTTATTTTCTTTATTCTCCAAGAGGTTTAAGCCCAGTTGCATACAATTACACCCTTATATTTTAATTCCCAGGTTCGCTTTTAAAAATTGAGATTTTTATCTATTCTCTGGGCAGCTGCAAATCTTTGAAAACCAGCATCAAGCGTTCCAGGGGGGAAGCTGGGGAGTCGAAAGGCAGCGAGGGAAGGGAAAAATTACCTGGGGAGGGGAGGCAGAGAGTTCTTACCTGTGGGACGGCACCGTCAGGTCTGTGGTGGAGTTTTATCCTCTGAGCTTCCAAATATTCTTGAAATGGCTTCTGAAGAGAAGGACCTACACTTGGAATAGCACTGATGCAAAGTTCATCCCAGAGAACAAGACAAAATAGGGGAGGAAAAAAAAAAAAACAAAAACAAACATTTTTTTTTTTAAACTTACCACTTTGACCCAAAAAGAACAAAGTTCAGAGCGAGCTACAGCTCCGAAGGGCATCGCTACTTGAGAACAGATAACCACGAAATAAAGTGCATTTCATCTTTTTCATCGGACACTTCTGAAAGGGACATAGTTCCCCGCATCCTCAAAAAGTGCTTAAAAGGAGAAAAAAAAAAAAGGAAAATCTTTGGGAGCAGAGCAGTGCCAAGGCTGTGCTGCTGAGAGCTGGAGCTGTTCCTGCGGGGCAGGGAGAAGGAGCTGAGCCCCGCGCCGGGGCAGCGCTGGGAAGAAAATGAATGACTTCTGAGAAGTCCCACATTTATCACCAGCAGTTCCTGTAAGAACTGGTTTGAACCGATTAATAAGGAAATGACTTGTGCTTGTGTCATCCCTCCAGTTAAAAAAGAAACTGCTCGCCCTATGACTTGCCCCTATCTCCTCAAAGGAGACGGCCCCTTTCTCAAACTAAGTCCTTATTAGGACAATCTGTGCGTCATCCTTCCCCAAAAAGAATGCATTAGCAAATTCTGCAGGCGCCTCCCCCAGTCAGTGATTAACAAAGGAACAAAGAAGGAACTATGAACCCCGGTCTGAATCATGCCATGGTTTATGGCAGATGACTTGCACAAAAAGCTACAATACGTTACTAAACACCTTGTTCTTCCATTAAAGAGGAGGGAGGTGGTTTCTCTCCCCCCCCCCCCCAGGAAAGG